CCCGCCCCCCCCCCCCTTTCTCTCCCATGCAGGAAACTTGCCACAGCACTAGCATATTATAAGTAACACTGCAGGCGTCTCAGAGAATGTTTGCTTGATTGATTTCTTCCATCTGCTGCTGCAATTGTTGTAAAAATCCTGTACAGTAATTAGCAAGGCACCAATCTCTCTCAGAGTAAGCAGTTAAGGATTTGCAGGAGTTTTCAGTGTAGCACGGGATAGACAAAGCTAAGTGATTGTAAGTGAAGCTAAACTGCAGGTCATTTCAGTTGATTTTCTTATTTTTGTGTTTTTGGAGGATGCAACCCTGTCTTGAATGTGTTAATGTGTGCCTGGGTGGTGGTAGTCTCTGACTGTGCTGCTGCTGGTTGTGAGTTTGTTTTGTCAGCGTCAATGTGAATGCTGAGCGATGATCAACATACATCCATTTATGGATCATATAGTCATAGCAATCATATTACAGTGTGTCTAGCTATTTTCTTTCCTCCACCTGGTCGAAATTATGTGTGAATTGATGTTGTGAATGGCCTCTTTTTCCCTTAGTATCTCAGTATCCCCCAGTTCTAGAGCTTCCTGAGTGTGTAAATTGGTTGCTCGTATTATGTTGAGCCTATTATTCTGAATAAACAGCCAAACTCTAAGGATTTGTGTCTGTTTGTATACAATATTTAGCACTTTTTCTTGTCAAGTCATTTAAAGGTTCACATTCAGTCATGGACTCCTTTTTATTCTGACTGTCTTCTTTAGGAACCAGATGAAGAGAAGATTGTCATGACTAAATGCTGGCAGAACTGAACATCTCATTATTTGTGACCAAATACCTTAAATTGTCAATACTCTGGGAATTATTATAAAATTATTTTATAAATAATACAAATGTTATTAATAGACCTCTACCTCCAAGTCATTGATGGTACACTTCATTAGTGCTGGGCTGTTTTGATATTACTGTACTGTGTATCTTGTTTCTACTTCAGAGAATGTGATTCATTGTTAATGTCACTTAGTCCTATTATTTAGGGAAACTATCAATGCTTCATTCAAAAAATTACCTGCAAGAGTGGTAAACATTACAGATTTGCTCCATGTTATAGTTTGACTGCAAATTTCAGGGGGATTTTGTATTACTAAGGTAAAGCCATATATGAGGATCCCTTTGTCAAAATCTGTTATTAGTTTGTGGCCATGTGGTACATATTTCTAAAATCAAATAGGCACCACTGGACTGTAACCTATATCATTTAAAAATTAGGAGTATCTCTGTTTTCCCAGCATTGGCCTCTAGGTGGTGCGGTTTCCTTCAGTATTTTCATTGTTTTTTTTTTCCTTCTCCGCCCGTTGCCCATCATACGGCGTCTGTATTTAAAAAAGCATTTTTACGATGGCGGAGGACAGTGAATCTGCAGCCAGTCAGCAGAGCCTAGAGCTGGACGACCAGGACACCTGCGGGATAGACGGAGACAACGAAGAGGAGAATGAGCATATGCAAGGGTGAGGATGGCCTGTGCTGTCTGTCTGGGAAACGCAGTAACGTTATTTCAGGCAGTCTGCGTGTGTGCTTGGTGGGGAATGGCTAGTCCGGTTAGCTAGCTAACGTTAGCTACAGGGAAGTCACTTCTTTAGTAACATCACTGTTGATTTGAAACGCTGGGGTTATTGTCATTTTTTCCTTTTAACTATGTGTGCATTCACGTGCCAGCCAGTAGTCAGCCATTAACACAAATGGTTAGTGAGCCAGCTAACGTTAGGCTAGCTCCGCTGTCATTCGTTGCTATGGTAGCTAACGTTAGCTCTCTGCTGCTGTGGGTGGGTGGGTGTGTGTATTAGGAGTCAAAGTCAGCCTCCGTTCAATATTGTCCTGTGGGTTTGTCTCTGTATCTGCAGGAGTCCAGGGGGAGAACTTGGAGCCAAGAGGAAGAAGAAGAAGCAGAAGAGGAAGAAAGAGAAGCCAAGTTCAGGGGGAGCCAAGTCTGACTCTGCCTCTGACTCTCAGGAGATAAAGGTGCGAAGATGACCTGCTGAAATGTGCAGGGGCTCTTTCTGGATAGGTGATAAAATCCAAAATCACAGTCCACTGACCTGGTGGAGTCGCTTGCTATTCTGATGGACAGTGTACTAAGAATAGGTGAAGGCAGTATTATAGTACTTTTACAACAAGTCGAGATAAACCTGTTTGCTTGCTATCAGTGTGAATGGGTATAGGCATCATCCATATGTGGCCTTGACTCATAACCTACAGAAACATTATTTACTGCAGTACCCCAAATTATAATGGTTGTGAAATTAGATTTAATTTATATAGCCCAGTATATCACAAATCACAAACTTGGGGGCTTCTGTTCTCAGCAGTGTTTAAACACATTAGCACATTTCTGTAGACATCATTTTGCCAGTTATGCTTTGTCTCTGTTCACATCATATTTTAGTTTTACAATCCCAGAAATATGAATAATAATATGTGATACCTAGTGCTACACCTTATCCAGGTATTTGATCACTGTGGACACAAGCTTCCTCAGCTTGAATATCATTAGTGCTTGTATGCAGTGTAATGACGATCTACATGCTGAAATGAAAGCATAAGTCTGACAGTAGAGTAGACTAGAGAATAATTATAAACTGGTGATCCCACCTTTCATTTCTGCTGATAAGATAAAGACAAACAAAACAGGATACACATCTGGATCTGCACATTACACCACAGTGTCTGAGCACCTACAAGGTGCGCTGATTTCAAGTTTCATTCAGAAATTAAAGACTGTCCACTGACACAGTGAGAGGCAACAGCAGTGGAAACATGCACAACTACCACAAGTACACATAAAAAAAAAGAAAACAATGCACAACACTCTCAGAAACCTCCGGACACTATTAGAATCATGTATAAAGTGAGATGAGTAACCAGGATTTTCATAATACATGTAAACAAGTAAGTTTGGATTATGTCAGGCATTTGTCTTTGGCCTAGTGATAAATGTTATGCCACACAACCACAGAGAAGTTTGTGTTTTTCAACTTACGGACCACTGTATTTATGTTTAGATGGTTACGTGTTTTGTATTGGCATATAGAATCCTGGCTTACCCATTCAAAAGCTGCAGGACATCCAAAGAGCCATGGAGCTGCTTACCTGCCAAGGTCCTGCAAAGAACATTGACGAGGCAGCTAAGCACAAGTACCAGTTTTGGGACACTCAGCCTGTGCCAAAGCTAAGTAAGTACCGCAAGAACGTTGTTTATTTATTTTTTAAAACCTAATTTATTTATATTGTGTGACAAAAATAGCCCATATTATGTTTAAATAAAGCTTTCACTGAGGTATTCATCTCATAAGTTGTTAATGATTCAGTGATTGGCCACTGGTAAATTATAGAAATTGCTTAACTCAAACAGTGTATTAGCTGACAAAATAAGGTTGTGTATTGTCTTTAATTCTGTTTTTGTGCTCGAGTACCTTCTACTGGATTTATCTTCACTTGGTGTGGCTGCTCAAAGCTAGGGTCCCAAAAACATGTCAGCTGTGAGGTACAGTGGGGGTCCGGATACACTCGCTGGGCATGCTTGGTGGCATTAGATTAAGCTGTTACCATGACAACTGTTGGACTAGTCTGTGCAGGAGGGCTGGTGCTATGGGCCTTTCTGGTTGAAACAGGACCAACAACAGCAGATTTTATAAATGTCTTTAGTGATGCTGTCAGCAGTTTTATGGTTTTACCGGTTTGGATCCACAGCAAAATGTATGAATGTTAATGAGCCTATTTTAAATGTGTTGATTAGAAAGTAATTTTATATCATTTGACAAGAGCTGTGCTATTTTTGCAGATGAAGTTGTGACAAGTCATGGGCCGATTGAAGCTGACAAAGAAAACATCAGACAGGAGCCATATTCCTTACCTCAAGGCTTTACATGGGACACGTTAGATCTCAGCAATGCAGATGTAGTGAGTACAGTGTTCATCTCAAACACTTAATCAATAAATACATGTTGTAGAAGTGATACATGAAAAAATGTCCTGCCTCTTTCAGCTGAAAGAGTTGTACACATTGTTAAATGAAAACTATGTGGAGGACGACGATAACATGTTCAGATTTGATTATTCACCGAGCTTTCTAAAATGGTAAGCTTTTAATTCTGATGTTTTGTTTATTGCTTTAATGATGTTTCATTAGCTGCTCATCAAATATATACAGTCAATGGTCTGCCCTCTCGTTAAGCATGTCCTTCTGTTTCAGGGCTCTGCGTCCACCTGGCTGGTTACCACAGTGGCATTGTGGTGTGAGAGTGTCCTCAAATAAAAAGCTTGTTGGCTTCATCAGTGCCATCCCTGCAGATATACGCATCTATGACACGTGAGCACTCATAATTGATTATGCATATTTGTAGCACTTTGGATTGAAGGATTTAATGGAAACCCTTTTACACTAATGTTAGATCTGTCTTCTTCCTTTCTGCTGCTCCAGCCTGAAGAGGATGGTAGAAATTAACTTCCTGTGTGTCCACAAAAAGCTGCGTTCAAAGCGTGTCGCTCCTGTGCTAATCAGGGAGATCACACGGAGGGTGAATCTAGAAGGAATATTTCAGGCAGTATATACGGCAGGAGTGGTACTGCCTAAACCTGTGTCCACATGCAGGTACACTGTGCAATATTCAACATGAAACACAGGACATGGTTTCAGAAAGTTACTTAAAAACCAGTACTCCTGAACTCTTTTTCTGTTTCTTTTATTTCTGGTCAGGTATTGGCATCGTTCTTTGAACCCCAGAAAGCTTGTGGAAGTCAAATTCTCCCACCTGAGCAGAAACATGACCCTGCAAAGAACCATGAAACTCTACAGACTGCCAGATGTAAACACTTAACACCTGTTTATGCAGGATCTGTTCTTACCATTCCTATTAATGGCAGGAGTTTACATCGACTTTTTTTCTGCCACTTTCCACACCCTGTATAGAGCACCAAGACTCCAGGTCTCCGGCCGATGGAGAGGCGTGATGTCTGCCAGGTCACTGAGCTGCTACAGAAATACTTGAGACGTTTTCACCTTGCACCTTCAATTGCAGAAGAGGAGGTTGCGCACTGGTTTTTGCCACAGGACAACATCATTGACACATATGTAGTAGAGGTCTGTGGAATCAGTTCCTACTCAGACTAACTCGGTGCCTGTCTGTTGTTTGCTAATTGTTTTAAATAGCTGTTGTGTGTGTGCGTGTCTCTCTCTTCAGAGTGCTGGTGGCGTACTGACGGATTTCACTAGTTTCTACACTCTGCCCTCGACCGTGATGCATCACCCTCTTCATAGGAGCCTGAAGGCTGCTTACTCTTTTTACAGTGTTCATACACAAACCCCGCTACTGGACTTGATGAATGATGCACTGATCCTGGCCAAACTGGTAATGTTACTCTACTGTTGTGAAACCCATGCAAATATCAGCAAATGAAGCTGTTCATAATCAGCTCTTACCTTTAAGTGGACAGTGTTAAATATAAGTGTAAATGACCACTGAGACGGATTGTGATCCGATCACTGAAACCACTTGCAGAGGTGGTCTGGGACACATTTGACCACATATTGTTTGTAGTTTAAAAGCTAATGCGTCCTGATGCATGGTCAACAAGACAGTGTTGCAAGAAAATACGTCATCAGTACAGGACGTGATGGTTTCTTTGACAGTGTGCCAGTGTTCAACAAAAGAAAAATGGAGAGAAACATCTTATACAAATCTATCAGTGTATTGCGAAAGCTTTCATGATACATTAATGTACAAATCTGATGCTTGTCTTCTGCTTCTTCTTTGGTAGGGAGACTGTTGGTGCAAATAATTGTGTCTGTGGCCGTTCAATATTTAAGCGGACATGCTGCAGCAGCAGTGAAATCTGAACACAAGTGGTCAGGATGGACATTTGGAGATGCATGTATATTGACAGGTGTAAATGGTGATGCGTCTCGCTGTCCACTTGTGATCCAGTCATCCAAGACGCATTTTAAAACCAAGTCTAAACAGGGCTTAAATTAAGGGAAATGGAAAGATGTCTGCAGAGCCCAAATATTAGAGGAAAGAAACCACAATCCAGGCCTTCCATAATCAAATTGTACAATAGTTTTTAAAGTTAAACCAAGATTTAAATTTGTTTTCTTGCCACTGTGACACTCAGTTTGTGATTTCTTATTCTGTTTCTAACAGAAAGGCTTTGATGTGTTCAATGCCTTGGATCTAATGGAGAATAAGGTGTTTCTGGAGAAACTCAAGTTTGGCATAGGAGATGGAAATCTGCAGTATTACCTCTACAACTGGAAGTGTCCCCCTATGGACCCTGATAAGGTCGGCAGCACGAATTGTTTGAGATATCGATTGTCGCCATTTCAGTATCCTTCAGTGCCTGGTGTTGAGACTCAGTGATGACAGATGAATTGTAGTTGGTATTTGTAGTGTAAGTTGCCTGTAGTTAACATATCTGTTTTATATGAAGCTGTTGCTTGTTATGCAATACACGTTGCATGTTGCACAATCAATGGAAATGGACTGTATTTTATATAGCGCTTTTCTCACAGTGTGTTGCACTGGCCAAAGCGCTTTACAGAGGATCATACACCATTCACCCATTCACCCATTCACACACTGATGACGACAGGCTGCCATGCAATCAAATTAAGTGGGCTAAAAGTGCTGCAGTCAGTGCTAATTGTGATATTATATAAAGTAAGGTAAATGTTGCTTTCCAGCCCACAAAGACTCTGCTGTGAGAAAACATGCTTTTAAACACTGGAATTAACTATTTGAGGAGCACTGATTTAGTGGTGATGGATTTGCAGTATTTACTGTATAATTCTTTTTACATTAGTTTTTTGTTCTTATTCGTTTGGATTGTGTTGCACCAGCAATCCATAAATTCTTCACCAAATATTTGATTTCAGTTTTCCCAAAAGGTATTAACACTAAGTTTGTTCCGTCATGTAAAAACTCATCTAACAACGGGTTACCCTCTGCTCTTCAGGTTGGCCTCGTCCTTCAGTAGCAGGTCTCTTCATGGCTCCCACACAAACAGTGACTCGGAGGCTTTCAGCGACCTCTGACTATTCCTTACCTGGACATACAGGTAGCCCAAGCTAGACAATGAGAACTACAACAGTAAACCAACCTGGTGACGGGAGGTGGTCCACCTGGCACCTGCATCATCAAGAACAGTCTCAGTTCACCAGGAGGTGAAAACTCTCAAATCATCAACATCCTGAATGTGAAGTCATGCTATGCCTCAGATGCTCAAACAGTACAGTGCTCCTGACATGCACGCTCATATTTACAACACAACAGTCTGACATTCAACAGGATGCCTTGACATTGTGGATTTTGTTTGATTCTTTTTTGTCACCACACACATTGTTACATGGGACAGGCATATAGTTTAGTTTCACTGACATGGGGCCATATAAATCATATTAAGTAAACATGGCCATATAGAATTGTTTTGATTTTGTTATCCTGCAGCTGAACAAATTTTCCCATCCATTGTCATATTATTGTGGCCAGAAGTGTGTCTGCAAGCTGTGCTGGGCCTTAGAATTAGAGATGATAGCTGACATATAAAGGAAAAATCATTTTTCCCCTTAATCTTTCTGAAGAAATATCTTCACAACAACACAACAAAAGACTCATGCAACCATTGCATTGATGTTCTTGTTAAAAATCTATAGTTATCTGTACATTTAAAGCCAGATCATATTTATTCCTGTAGAGTGAGTTGGGGTGTGTGAAGGCTGATCCAAAGTATTTTCCTCATCAGTAGATGCCACTGACTTTCTTCAGCTAATGTGGGTTTAAGTCATTTTTGATGAAGAATGTATTGCATCAATGAAGCACAATTTTTGAGTTTGTAAACAAGCAAAAGGGTCCATTAGCCCAGATTTGAGAGCAGATGGGTTGTGGTACATAAAACTAATGATCTAAGCTATTTCCATGTTACAAACCTGTCTCTAGAGTTCGTATTTTTAATACAACACTCCAACCATGTCATGTTCGCCAGTATGCTCAGCATAGTTATTTTCATGACAGTGGAGATGAATAAGAGGCAAAAGGAAACTGCAGCTACTAAATTAAGAAAGGAAGACATGCCACATGCAGCAGAAGCAGCACACGTGCCAGAAAACAGCAGTTAAACCACAGCCCAGTGGATTTAACATGCATTTTTCTTTCTGAATTATCAGTGTTTCATTCTGGAGACAGTTTTATAATGTAGAAATGGCTTATTGTTTTGAAAGAATATATGTGGTTAAGTCATTTAAAACAGCCAAGGTTAGTTTTGTTTTATTTAATTATTGTACCTCAGATCACTTACAGAGTTTGACTTGCTACTTTAAGCAGCCTGCTACAGATAAACTAGGATGTTACATGTGCTCTTAATCAACCTTAAATAAGCAAACAGAGCACAAAACACCTAAAAGGGTCTAAAGAAATCATTTACAACAGCATGCAGTCAGAATACAGTGGCAGAATAAAGCCTGTATCAGTAAGCGCATCCACTGAAATGTGAGCATTTCTTGTTTTTCCAGGTGTTTTTAATGGTATTGTATTTTGTGTGTCTGAAAAATATACTGTAGGGCATTTTTTTGTGTGTTGTGCAGCTAAATGCGTGAAACGGTTCTTATATTTATAATTGTACTTTGCTGATTGTTTTCAGACAATTCCTTTTCTTTCCAGTATTTCCCTAAAATTTCCAGTTAAATAGGCAAATTTAAAATGTTTGTGGGTTTGGAGTATGTGGGAGTTCCCTGGAGGATGAGGTGGAAAAACAACTGTCAGGCCACTTGTTCTGTGGTTTTACTCAAATATTTAAAATGGTACTTTTTGTCCTGAGTTTACTTTGCTCTGAGTTTATTTTTTGTCTGTTGTTCCTGTTTATGTGGCTCCGCACAACAGAAAAGGTCAAGGCTGCTGTCATTTTTGTCGCTGGTTATTCTGTATGTGATGTAATTGTCTTATTTCTTTGTAGATTAGCAACAAAGACAACGGACAGTCAGTGCTTCAGGATTCGGAGAATTTTTAACCATTGAGAAGTTGAATGAGTTGCTAATTTAACACTGAAAGTGGCTACCGAGTCAACGGTGTCCCTCATGGATATCGGCTGTGTCCCAGATGTGTTGCCTGCAGCTGTTTGAATGAACTTCAAGCATATCAGTTTTGCTGCTGTGTTGATTTGAGCATTGTTGTTATCTACACCCTTTAGTGAGAACTCAACCCGAAGTACCTGCCTTATTTAAAAGATTTTTTTTTTTGTGATGTGTGCGGGGGGTTGTGTTTACAGTTTTCTCTAACTGAAGAACAATATTTTTTATTCAGATCCATTGTAAGCTGTCAGAAAGCTGAAGAACTTGTACCAGCATCATTTAGATATGGCCCCATGCAAAAAACAATGTTTGAACACACACACATTGGCTCTACCAGCATGGATATTTGATTGAATAAATTCACTTTAAAAAGTAATGTTTTTTTTGTTTAGTTTTTTTTTTATAGCTGTGCCACAGCTAACTAACAAACAAACAAACACACGGTGCCAAAAGGATAACTTCCTTGGTAGAGATAACAAAAATGATGGCTGCAAAAACAGAGCATCATTATAGTTACCCGATAAGACAAATTTCTGCTGCTTGATGTCCATCCATCCATTATCTATATTGCATACCCTGAATAGGGTTGTGGGGGTGCTGAAGCCAATCCCAACTGACATTGGGCAAGAGGCGGGTACACCCTGGACAGGTCACCAGTCTATCATAGAACTGATATGTAGACAACTAAACACACACACACACACACACATACTTCCTGCAATTTAGATTCACCAATCAACCTAAGCTGCATGTCTTTGGACTGTGGGAGGAAACCAGAGGACCAACACAACATGCAAACTCCAGTGAGGTCTCAAACCTTCTTGCTGTGAGGCAACATTGCTAAATCACTGTACTGATTTAGAGCTTCAGCGTAATGACTCACCCATCTCAAGCAAGATTCGTGTACTGTATTTGCAAAGTCATCTGTAAATCGTACAGAATGAGTCTTAAAACAATGGCTGGCCAAAATGTCAAAAAATGCATTCACAAAACTAAAACTTAAAATGTTTATGTAAAAATGCTTAAACAGTGGATCCAAGCTTGAGGGTCAGGAGGTTTCCAAGATAAATCTGAGGAGCCACAATATGATTGGATTAAAAAGGAAAAAGAAATTCTAAGTCACAAACCTGATGACTTTTTCTGACAGCTTTTATCTGTGAAGTACTAAACATTTTCATGTCTTTGGGCTTTCAAAATGAAAGAAATGAACCTGTAACTGAGCTACAACATGCAAAAACACTAGTAGGTTCCTTTAAATATCTGGCAGAGTTTGTTTCATTTGTCTGGTTGTGACTTAACCTTCTTTTTCTTTGCAGGGTTAGCAACTATTTTCTTCACTTGGAGAGGCTGCAGCGTACAGGAGGAAGGAGACTCTGTGACCCCCTCAGACTCGCTCACCAGTTTCCTTTTCTGGCCTCTCTTCTCTCCAGCCTCCTCTTCATCAGCGGTAGTTGCTGAACCTTGTAGCCATGCAACATCTAATGAAGGTACTCTGGGCTTAATGGCTTCAACAGTGTCAGTGAAGACGTCCTTATCGCCAGAGATGCACTGTCTGAACCCCAGTGCAAGGACACTTTTCAGACCCAGCGGCTCAGACACACTCTGGCTCAGGCGAGGCACCTGGCACGCCGGCACGCCTCTCGTTGCACTCAGCGCAATCAGGTGATGTGTCATGTGTTTGGGTTTGACAGATTTGCACACAAGCACCAGTTTGAGTTCATTCTTCTCCAGAGCTTTGGTGACCTCATTGATGCCAATGGCCAGTT